GGGGATTCGAACCTGCCACCTTAGGTGTATGTGGCTGGCGCCTCAGCCGCTTGAGCCACAGGCGCTGAGCCTGTACTTTGACTTTCAAAAGAGCCTCTGTACCTTATGTAGGGGTTGATTAAATGAACAGAATTAATTTACTACTAAAGTAAACACATTCCTTTACTTTGAAGTTGAAAGTTACAACCTGCGAACTTTGTATCTAACATTAAGCTAAATCATAAAAATGTCTCATGAAACATTTGTTTTCCTCTTAACAAAATAACAGTAACAGTAGTAACATTGATAGCACTGTGCTTACTATGTAATACTAGGCTTGGTTCTAAGCAGTGTAAATACATTAACTTATTTAGCCTTTACAAAATCTCTAGAAGGTAGGTACCATTTTATCACCATTTTGTAGATGAGAATATGGAGACACATATGGTTTAAACAATTCCTCAGGGTCACACCCCTGGTGGGAAACAGTGGCAAGGATTGAACCTAGGATATGTGGCTCCACAGTCTGTGTTTTCAACCACTAGTTTTGTTTGCCCTAAAAGAATGGAGCCTGAATGAGTCTCAAACAAGATCATTTTCCTACCTAGTTGATCTCACATTCTTTCTGACCATCACCTTCCTCTTCTCTGAGGACTTTATCAGTAATATTATTTTTACCTTTATTGTAAATGTAACTACTTTGAGCTTATAATTTAAAAAAATTGTCTACAGCATTTAGTGTTTCTTTTCTTGCATGTGGACACTCCATTTCTAAGCCAGATGTGGCAACATTATTGGAATAGGGGAAGACCCCTGGATGGTTGTGAGAGAAAGAACAAGGAATTGGAAAGCAGGATGTGATTTCCCACCCCTCCCCCCCAGACAGAGTCTCACTTTGTTGCCCTCTGTAGAGTGCTGTTGCATCGTAGCTCACAGCAACCTCCAACTCTTGGGCTTAAGTGATTCTTTTGCCTTAGCTTCCCAAGTTGTGGGACTACAGGTGCCTGCCACAATGCCCAGCTATTTTTTGGTTGTATTGTCATTGTTTGGCAGACCTGGGCTGGATTCAAAACTGCCAGGTCTGGTGTATGTGGCTGGCACCCTAGCCACTGAGTCACAAGCGCAGAGCCCCAAATTGATTTTTTAAAAAAATATTTTGTAGAGATATGGTCTCACTGTTGCCCATCCTGGAAGTGGGCATTCTACTATGAAGATGAGCTTCTACCTCTCCTGCATGTGTTCATTCATTTGTTCAATTATAAATATTATATCAGTATGGACTCAGAATCAACTCTTATTAATTTAAGTGACATATATATTAACAATTATTTTTTCCAACTTTAAAGTTCACAGATATGATTTCATAATCTACATTTCAACTAACCTTTAAGACACTACCACTTTGTAAGTTTTCATATAGTATCAAAGAATAATATCCCAATTATCTGAATGGACTAGTAAAATATTCTGTTATTTTCCAACTATGGGAGGCTAGATTTTCTTCATATGCTTCAACCAAAGTATCATATTGCCACAGATTGAATGCAGAAACAGGTATCTGCATGTCTTCTATTAAATCAGACATTAAAGGGATTTGCAAATATTTAAAGCAGTATCTTTCATTAATTTTTTTTATTTTGCAAAGGATTGTTTTCATGTTATTTATTGATTTTTTATTTTATTATTATTATTTTTTTTGAGACAGAGTCTCAAGCTGTTGCCCCGGGTAGAGTGCTGTGGCTTCATAGCTCACAGCAACCTCAAATTCTTGGGTGTAAGTGTTTCTCTTGCCTCAGCCTCCCAATTAGCTGGGACTACAGGCACCCACGACAACACCCGGCTATTTTTTGGTTGTAGTTGTCATTGTTGTTTGGTAGGCCTGGGCTGGATTCGAATGTGCCAGCTCTGATATATGTGACTGGTGCCTTAGCCGCTTAAGCTATAGGTGCCGAGCCAATGTTATTTATATTAACATTCAATGGCTTTTTTTTTTTTTTGAGACAGAGTCTTACTATGTCACCCTCAGTAGAGTGCTGTGATGTCACAGCTCACAGCAACCTCTAACTCTTGGGCTTAAGTGATTCTCTTGCTTCAGCCTCCCAAGTAGCTGGGACTACACACACCCGCTACAACAGCCAGATGTTTTTTCGTTGCAGTTGTCTTTGTTGTTTAGCTGGCCTGGGCTGGGTTCAAACCCCCCAGCCTGGGTTTATGTGGCCGGCACCTTACCCACTGAGCTATGGGCACCACCAATGGCTTATTATTTTTAAATGAATTCATAAATACCTTAAAATTTCTCTACTTAAATTTCTTTCTCTTTCTTTTTTTTTTTTTGAGACAGAGCCTCAAGCTGTCCCTCTGGGTAGAGTGCCCTGGCACCACAGTTCACAGCAACCTCCAACTCCTGGGCTTAAGCGATTTTCTTGTGTCAGCCTCCCAAGTAGCTGGTACTACAGGCACCCACCACAACACCCAGCTATTTTTTGGTTGTAGTTGTCATTGTTGTTTGGCAGGACCGGGCTGGATTTGAACCTGCCAGCT